CTTCTGCATGCACCGGAGTCAGGCCCGGACTTGCACTGCAGGGCTAGCACCTGGCACAGGACATGTGGAGATAAGGCTTGAAAGGGTTTGAAGATTTAGGGTCTAAGGAACATAGTGGTTGGGGAGTTTTCGTGCAGAGGGATGCAGCTGACACCTTGGCATTGCAATGGGCATTGATGCTCAATATAGGTACAGTCCTGCAGTCCTGCTGTCGCCATGCCTAAACCCAAGACCATCAAGACCAAGTTGAAGAAGAAATGGGCGAGACTACCAGGAAATAAGGCTGCAGTTCAACAGAAGATGACCCAGTCCAAAAAGGTCGAGAACATTGCCTATGCTCGCACTTCCTCATTCGGGAAAAAGGTGCAAGGTTCCCGGGCAAGGCAAGTTTCGCAGTGCATTCAGGCTGCAGAAAAGCAAGGCATGCAGGTTCACTCGGCAATTGCAGAGGTCATTTCTGGATATGTCAAATACGACCAGCGAGCAACCCTCAAGCAGATCCTGGAGCGCAAACTACCCGGCATGCCAGAGGAGAGGAAACGAACAGTCCATGTGTTTGTGGAGAGTGTCCGTGCTTTGGCGAGGAATGCAATGGTGGGTGAGGAGATCTATAAGCAGAGCAAGAAGAACAACATCAACATCATTCCTCAAGACTATCCGACATTGTTCAGTCACAGTGAGACTCCTACCGGTAATTTTATTCGAAAGTTGATTTGTTCCCTACAAGAACTCGATCGAGACACACTCGTGTGGCGCCTTCAACAAGGTCGGGAGAACAAGGCCAAAACAACAACATTGAGGACTCAGTCAGGCAAGCCCAAAGTGAATGGAATCAAGAGCTACCTCGAGGATCTGCAACCATCCAAGAATGTGCAAAAGAAGATTGTGGCCCTGGGGAAGAAAAGAGATCGGGGTGACTTTGGATGGAGACCCATGGCAAACGAGGTTAGCAAGCTCCTGGGTATGAAGCAGTCCCTGCCACATGAGACTGTCCGTCGAATGTACAATGAGATTCTTAACAAGAAATGAACATGTACAGTCCCCAGTCTTCAGTCTTGCAGTCCCTCGGTGCTGCACCTCCATTGGTTGATGCAGCACTGCAGTCTTCGCACCGGCCACCTGGCCAAGGTTAATGCATCAGAGTCAGCAGATATTCTGAAGCCGCCAATGCCGTGGAACTGCAAAAATGCTCATTAGATCAGTTCATAATGATGATTACAATTCCAGACCCAGACAGATCCCGAAAACCTAGTCCCCCACTACCATAAAAAGCAGAAACCTCAAGCCCTAATTAAACCCTAGGAACATCACCCAGGCTTTTCCGAGTATGAGTGCTGAAACCCTTACATTGGCTGAAACCCTGAACACTAAATTATACCCACCCTCCCGAACAAACCCACTCAGTATAAACGGTCTAGATGTTGACTCCGGATTTTAGATACTGGCAGCAATATGTTCACTTAAAAACCCACACCAAGCACCGGTCCTACCTGCCCATACCTAAAAGCCTAAACCCTACATCCTAAGAACCAGTAAAGACCAACTCATGTGAGCCCCAACTGGCACCCACACCCTCAGCCCTGTATAACCCTGAACCTTAAACTAAACCCGAAATCCCTTGCTCACACCTGCAGGCCACTTCTTGCCGCAGTTCAGCAGGCGCTGCCTCCGGGGTGAGGGCTTACTGGGTGTCTGAAAATTCAGTTAGTAGGGGGTTCAGCCTTAACCCACAAGTAAAAGCAAGATTTTCAGGTTTCATTATGGTTTCTGCTGTGAGAAATAGGGTGATTAAGTTAAGGCAGTAGGAGCATACAAAAGCAATTATTAATTATTAAGAATTGAAGACTAAATCGTTTGATCCAGTACTGTAAACCTAATGCAGTACATTTGACCTTCAAATCTAAATCGCGAGGACCGACATCCCTCCAACCTATTAACCCAACATCCCTGAAGCCTATTAAACCTACATCCCTGCATTACTGTCTAACCAAACAACAGTAACAGTGAATACACCCCTTAGATCATTACCACACCAGGGCAAACTTTCTCTAATTTTGTGAGAAGTTATTAACTTAAAAGTAGAACACACCAACAAACAATACATCCTGCAGCTGTGCAATGCTACCTGAGCCCTAAACCCTAAGCCCCTAAACCCTAAACCCCTAAACCCTAAACCCTACACCCTAAACCTTACTAAACCTTGAACCCCTAAAAAACCCTGAATCCTAAACCCCTAAAACCCTAAACCTTAAATACCCTAAACCCTAAAAAAAAACCCTAAACCCTAAGCCCCTAAAAAGCCCTCAACCCTAAACCCCTAAAAAACCCTAAGCCCTAAACCCTATATCTTACAACCCACTTGGCCCTTTGCCCCCACATGCCTCGAAGGTTTTGGTGGCAGCAGCGCGGCCGGCGGTTTGGGAACTCCGGCCTGTACCGGGTTCAGGGTGGGGGGGTTCAGGGTGGGGGCCTTAGGGATGTCGAGCTCTTTAGGTTTAGGGTGCTTAGGGTTTTAGAGCATCTATCGGTAGTTCATTGTGCTTTAAGCACAAGGAAGACCCTATTTACCCTAAGCACCATAAGATCCCCGAGATGCTAGAACAATGAAACCCCAAAAAAAAACACACTGACTACTAAGTGCTCAGTAAACCCTAGTCACCCGAAGCCTACTCCAATCCTACCATGTAAAGCTTAGGGTTTAGGGAGTATCGATCTGGTGTGTTTATCAGGGTTTGTTGAGGGGAGGTGGTTGTTTGTCAGTTTTAATTTAAAGTTGGATTGCTGTTGTTTTGAGGTTGCAGGATTCTGCAGGGTTCTGCACAAAGAATGGTTACAGTTATTCTTGTGTTTTGTGCATTGAAGATTTGAAGGACTAGGAGTGTTTGCTTATTATTAAGTGTTTTCATCCACCATACAGAATGGGAACAAGCTTAGCTTGTGTTGTGAATGACAATGATGAGATGTTGTGTTTATAAATGTTTGGTTTTAGTTACCAACCACACAACACAAATGGCTCGATGGGCTCGAAGTCGTCAAGGCTGCAGAATAAGTTGCAGCGTAGTGGTCGCAGCTCTCTTGATGAAGCTCTGCTGCGGGTATGTCAGTGAAGATCCCATCGAGCTTGGACTGGAGGTCCAGCTCTTGCATTGTTGGGGATCCGTCTCCTCAGACTCGTCTTCGTCTACACTGATAGGAGGCTCGGGCTCGTGAACCATCGGCTCTTCGGGAACTTCGGGCCGCATATGGGCGCAGAAGTATTCAGTGTAGGGAAGCCCACGGTTAGTGACGCACACAGTGCTATTCGCTTCCTGCAGCACCACTCGACTCGGTGCCAATCGATGAGAAAAAAAACCCTAAGTTTAAACCCCTATGAAGCTTATAAGATCTTAAGACTGCAGGACTGGGGACTGGGAAATGGGCTTACTTTAGGTTCGGTGTGATCGCCACCCAATGACTCTGTCAATTAGTAAGTTAGGACCACTCAGTGTCCATCAATCCAAAGGTATACTAAAAGTAACAGCCCAATGCTCCAGAACCCACAAGCTCTACATCTTGGTCAGAATACTCCGAAATCTTCAAATGCACTAAGAATTATGCTTAAATTAAGGGTTTTAGGGTTTAATGTCTCCCTAATAATTTGCCTCAAAGAAGGGGTTTTAAGGATCTGTCTTGGCAAAGAAATGAAGCTCACTGTCAAAGGGCCTTAAGGGGTTTTAGGGAAGGGAGCCCTGGGTGGTGAAGACTCAGACTGGGGCTTAGAATCACTTCATGAAATTTATTCAGGGTTTTAGAGTCAGTCCAAATTAGAACCTCCAAAACAAAACCCCTAAATCAAAAGCCATCCAGACCTCAACCTAAGAACCCCAATGCACCAATAAGCTTGTGCCTAAAGCCTAATAATTAAGCCTCAGTAAACAACACGAAACCCTAAACCAAAATCACATTAAACTATACCCATCAAAAGCACCCAAAACTCTACTAATCTGAAGAACCCCAGCCAACCGAAAGCTCCTAGTTAAATGCTAACAACCTTAATCTTAACCCCTAAGGACTGCACGGACCTGGCCCGGCGCATTGTGGTGGTGGCAGGTGCCCTGCATGCAGGGCTATTTAGGGCTGTAGATTAATAATGGTTGGAGATTTGGGTGTCAAGGGCTTTAGGGCATTAGGGTTTACAGTTTTGATTGATTTTGGTGTCAAGGGCTTTAGGGCATTTAGGGTTTCGGGTTTTAAGGGCTTTAGGGCTTTCAGGATTTTGGTGTTTGGACTGTTTGGGGTTAGGTGTTGACAGAGGTTGCTTGGATGTGGTTGGTTTACAGAGCTTCAGGGTTAGTGTGTTAGGACCTGTGGGACCTGGAGTGTTAGGGCTTCGGGTATCATACTGCCTTTGGGACTTTGGGCCTTCACATAGTTTAGGGCTGGGGGTGGTACTGGGGGGGGGGGGGTTGGGGGGGTAGGGAATTTAGGGTCTGTAGGGATTGTAATTATTGGGGTTTGGGGCCCTTCGGGTTTGGAATGGCTTGGGGCTCGGAGCTTACTACCCTATCCTAATTTAAATCCAGTAATGAAATAAACCCTGCCAAAACCCCTGTAAACCCCGAAGCCCTATTACTAAGCAGGCTCTTTTTGTGCAGCTCCTTTGCAGGGCATCGGCCAAAATGGGAGGCAGGTTGAATTGCATCGAATGTTCCTTCACCTTCATTACTATGTATCAAGATGTGACAATAATTTATTGTTGCCATATTAAAGACATCACTTTAAAATACCATCACATTCGACCTTGTGTAGCCAGGGGTCTTTGCTAACCTCATAGCTCATGGTGTTGCGAGCCATAGGGTCGCAAACTCACTTATCCGATGTGCATATCACTCAGTCGTCCTTCACCATTGCACAGTGCACCAGTTACTACTGCAAGACTGCAGGACTGTCTGTGAATATTGACATACAGAATCTAATTCCAGCATTCTGCTTGCAAATGGGGACTGAAGACTGAGGACTGTCTAGTACTGTGCGTACTTGACAAATCTCAACAGCTCCTCAGGGATCGTCGTGTTGTCAAACTTAGATCGCACTCACAGAGCTTCAACTCCAAACATCATTTAAAATTTGTCAAGCCAAGGTGCTTTGATCAAAGTCAAAGATGGCCTGCGCTGGGAGTGCCGGCCTGGTTCGTGGGTCCTGAGCAAGGTGGGTCTGGGTTGTAACAAAAGAATCACTTAAATTAATTATGTGACTTCGGAATTAGTTAGAAGCGAGGTGCATCTCGAGAATGAAGATCTTGCGCTTTCGAAACTCTGGGGTGGCAACACCGATGCGGTTGCAAGTCCATTTCCCAATTTGCATGTAGGATTTCTGGATTCCAGGAATGGACTGTATGCACCAATTCGGCTCCAGGACTTCGCGCTCGGCATACTCTGGGTTGAACTGCGACTTAGTGGCTTCCAGAATCAGGCTTTATTGGGGGTTTAGAAATCAGGGTTTATTAGGGTTTGAGGGAACTGTCTAACAATAACAAACCGACCATTCATTCTCAAGCAACATTGTCCGCGGGCTGCCAGACATAGTTGTCCCCGATATGAACGTAGCGGCCGTTCTGCTGGCTCCTCGATTGCAATGTCAGGTTAACTAGGTAACTAGTCATCATTCAACTTCAATGTCATTGCATCCTAAAGCTTCCACGGCACCGGACGATCTTCCAAAAGCTGACTGTGCGAATGCCATTGTCGGTATCCGGAGGGGTGTACCTTAGTGTAGGTTTAGGGTTTAGGGGTTTAGGGTAGCTTAGGGTTTAGGTAGCTTAAACCCGAAATCCGTACTCATAGCCCTAAACCCCAAACCACAGCCGAAAGACATTGCCCAGATGAAGGTTCCATTAATCGGAAGCCACCATGACCAAAGATCATCAACATCGAAGAAGTCGTCCACTCCTGAGATTCAGTCATGGTTACTAGAAGATCAGATGTAGTACTACTATTACCACCACAATCAAAACCACCACCCCCTAAACCCTGAACCCTTAAAGCATATTGAACCCTAAAGCCACGAGTTAAGGATCCCTTTAAGGCTAGAGCTGGTTTTGGGTTTTAGGGTTTTGGGTTATTGTGATGGAAGACATGAGTGTTCTGTCCTAGTAGTCATAGTAGTAGCAGTAGCAGTACAAGTAGTAGCAGTAGTAGTTGTAGTGGCAGTAGTAGTAGTAGTAGTAGTAGTAGTAGTAGTAGTAGTAGTCCTAGTAGTCGTAGTAGTAGTAGTAGTAGTAGTAGTAGATAGTAGTAGTAGTAGTAGTAGATAGTAGTACCAGTTGGAGTGTGAGTACTAGTACTGCTACCAGTACTAGTAGCTAGTACAAGTGGTCGTAGTAGTGTTGTCTCAGCTAGCAATAGTAGTACGGGCCGGAGTAATAGTAGTAGTAGTAGTAGTTGTTGTTGTTGTTGTAGAAGTAGTAGTAGTAGTAGTAGTAGTAGTAGTAGTAGTAGTAGTAGTAGTAGTAGTAGTAGTAGTAGTAGTAGTAGTAGTAGTAGGTAGTAGTTGTTGTACTAGTATGTAGTATCAGCAGCAGTAGTTGTAGTAGTAGTAGTAGTAGAAGTAGTTGTAATATAGTAGTAGTAGTAGTAGTAGTAGTAGTAGTAGTAGTAGTAGTAGCAGTAGCAGTAGTAGTAATAGTAGGGAAGTAGCAGTAGCTTTAGTGGTAGTAGCAGGGAGTAGATGTTGTTGATGACGAGTCGCGGAAGTCATCCACCTGGGCAGTCAGGACTGCGAACTCCGATGTGCTGTATTCACCACGAGTGTAGTCAGGAACGTAGTCAAACGGACATCTCCAGCGCGCCCAGCCATATCCAAAATACTGGTCCAAGAACTGCGAGACTGTCTCCTGAAGCAGAGTCCACTTGAACAATGTTGCATGAAGCCCTCAGTCCTACAGTCTTGCAGTCATGTATCTCTTCTCGACGGTGGTGCCAGACTGTCTTCGACAGACGTAGGGAAACAGCGGGCCAAGATGAGAGCATCGCACA